ATGACAGTTTCCTTACCTGGAAAATGGGGTGATAACAGTATCCACTGCACAGATAAGATTTTTGTGAGAACTAAATTATATAAACTATGTGAAGGACTCATGTTTCATATACAGTAAATGCTCCATATATGTGCATTCATTCATTCATTCATTGAACACAAACTTTAAGGTGTGCCTTAAATACATCAGGCTGGAACTATATATAGTGGTAGCCGAAACAGACAAAAATTCCTACCCTCATGGCATTAACATGCTAAGGAGAGACAAATAATAAATAAAAAAATAAAAAGATCCAATTGTAATAAGGGAAATAGAAAACAGTAAAATGTAGGAGGGGAATAGGTTAGAGGAGGTTGTGATTTTAAATCCCATAATTAAGGAAGACCAAGCCTGAGGGAGGTGAGGCTGTCTGGGGAAGGAGAGTTGCAGGTGGAGGAAACTGCAACCGCCAAGAGGTCTGTGTGACCCGGAGGGGAGAATGCGGGTCCTTAATCCCTTCTCCAAACTGCTGGAACCCAAACACCTCTGAAGATGCTGGTCACACTTACCCGCTGCCCTCCTTCACTCCCAGGTCTGTGAACATGATCATCTCTCCCCGCAACAGCACTCCATTTCCCTTTCTTGGCATTAGGAGCCTCCAGCATCCTGTGCCTACCCCTTTACTGCACCATCTCTCAGGCAGCTCCACTGACCCCAGTGCACAGGTGCTTGACCCTTGGAGACCCAAGCATTATTGCTTTTCAATTATTATTAATCCCTACAGAAAAGAAAAGAAGAAGATGAAGAAGAAAAAGCTAAAGAACTGTCCTGGGTGGGATGGGAGCAGTGTATTAGGACTTCAGCAACACCCCCCTCCAAGAGGATTTCCACCTGAAAGCTGAAAATTTCTACATATTTGAAGAAAAATTTTGGCCCTGATTGTGACATCTGAAGAATTAACTAGTCATTTTCTATTCTTAATGGGGAAATAAACTGAATGAGGAAGAGCAATCTTGAGATGGAGGACGAGGAGGGTAGAAAGGGAATAAATAAAAAGTGGAGAGGTGAGGAGGGATAAAGGGCATAATTAAAGGATAAAGGGAAAACCTAAACAAGTTTAATGAAGACGAACTGAAGAGACATTTCTCCTCTGACAAGTGGCAAGTATCTATGAATTGGGGGTGGGGCGGGAATGGGGGTTACCGTTAACCCTTTCGTGTTATGGAGTGAAGAGATTAATGATGAGATTTTTGAATTTTTAAGATTTTTGAATAACAAACTTCCCTTCCAAATTAGAAAAAAAAATTCTAATGCTTAAAAAAATTTTTTTAATGAGAAGTTATCTCATTAGCTTTCATCTAGAAAATCGCTTTAAATTGGTAGTGACGTTTTTTAAGGAGCCACACGGGAAAATATCCGGCCGTCTCGAAAACCTCGCAGCGACCAACCGCCGGATGCTCCAAAGTCAAGATCCTCGCAGACAGGAAATGCCTTTGCCAGCCCCAAGGTCTCCTCCCCGCAGCCCTCTCTATTGTCTGGAGAGATTTGTGTACATCTGACTGAAGAGATTTCCCGCCTGCAACTGCGAATCAAAGAGCTGCCTCAAAAGAAGGGACTCAGTGGGGGCTTTGTAGCTTTTCTGGCTGATACTTGGCGCCCACTGTGTGCCAGGGGCTGATGCCACCTCTCAGGTGAGCAGCCCACCTCTGGAGGAACTTAGGCTGAGAAGTCACGTTTCCCAAGGCCCTCAGCCAACAAGGGAGGCGGAAGGGACTTGTCTGCCTTACTTCCACCCTGTTCTTACCCACAACGCTGATTCCTAAGTAAAGTTCCCCATAGGCACATCCTAAGGGGTAGTAGACCTTGGATCTCAGACATTTTGGTGGGTGGGAGGACTCTTCAAAGTGCTTCTCATTTACATTCAACAACAATACCCACCCCCAAAAAAGTATCAAGGGACAAACTCAGATTATTCAGAGATTCCAGCTGGAATTTCATGAAACCCAAAGGAATCAAAAGTATACGTTAGTACAACATCTGATTATTTGTACTACAAGATGCCAAACTCCTAACCATTTAGAAGCATCCTGAGTGAATGTTTGGTTTTTCACATTCTGTCCCATGTTGTCAATAGTTACATAAATATCACCTCCAGTCACAGATTTAAAGGATCATTGGTTATTAGATTTTAAAGAAAAATCAAAAGCGTGAGCTTTTGAGTTCCTGTCATCTTCCACAGGTCGAGATAACAGGAATGGGAATTTTGGTGTGTTCTATCCCCAGCAAAATACCTTTCCCCCAAGCCTACACACATTTTCTTAAATCCCTGCCCTGCCCCCATTAACTAAAATGAATATTCACAGCAATGAAACCACACACACACACACACAAGGTTGTCAGAAGTGCTGAAAGAGAATAGGTACTTTCACTATCAGATATGGTTTCCTCTTTTCCCACAAGATGTCTTATCAGCTTTCACCCTGAGAAAACCATAAAAAGTAAGAAAAAGAAAACTTATGCAATAGTTCTCTAAATAAAATATACACAGCAGGCTAGTCATCCCTAAAAGTGATGTTGTTTAAAGAGTCAAAGTACATCATTCAACAAAATCAATACCCTATTAAGTTAGAAGGGGTTCTGAATATCAAAGACCAACGAACTGAATAACTTAAAGTATAAGTACATGACCCAGGGGATTAATCACACACTGTCATGGTGAAATTAGGGCAATTCTTCCAATCATTAACGTTTTGCTTACAAAAATGTGCTTTTCTGTTTGTCTTTCTGCTAAATGATAACCGTTTTCAAGTTGAATCTCCTGATAAAAAGAGTTAAAAACAAGACAGGAGTTGTGCTGTAAAGGTCATACATGCTGCTTCAACATGAAATAGCCAAAAGACAAACAAATGAAAAATGCCTGGATTGTAGGAAGAATTTGTAAATACTCATTGGCAATCTGCAATGGGGCACTTTAGAAAAGTTAGTGCCAACCTGTGTCCTGAGAATATTGTACTTCCTCCAGTTAACATGCTCTGGATTCTTAAGGACATGTTTAGATTCAGAACATGAGCGACTCGAAGAGAGTTGGGAATAGCTTTAAATTGGAAAATGGCCTGGCTTCAGGGATTGTCTACTTTAAAGCAAGATTTCACCCCTCAATTGTTGTAGTGTCAATCAATACATAAGCCTGTATTTCCCTGCTTGATAGTCATGATACAGTTATTCTCAAGAATAAACATTAACCAGAGGTTATCTCCAGGAAGGAAACACACACTGATTTCAGGACTGCTTTAATTCAATATTAGGCCCACAAGCCTCCTGTTCACCCCAGACTCTGATATAGATAGTCCCATTTTCGAATGAGACTGATTACAACCTTTGAAACCTTGATGTAAACTGGCAGACAGGGTCTGGGAGCCTGGAGCCCACAGCTGAATGGAAAGGAGACCCTCTCACTGGATGCCTACTTTGGACTCCAACATTGAGGAGACATAGAATGGGCAGAACAACAAAGATAAAGTGCTTGAGCTGAGTTGGGAACTCAGGGACTGGACTGGGCCTTGTAGATATCTAGACCATCTTCATTCTATGAGAGAACTGAGGCCAAGAACCAAAACTCCAACCCAAATCTTTAAACTGTGCACACCTCTGTGCTTAAGGACTCAGTACTAATTTTCTCAGAAATTCAAATTCATAGGTAATTGCAAAGGCCTTCTTGGAATCTAAGGAGACAGGGTGTGACAACCTCCTAAATGCACTGATTTTTTCCCATTGTCTTCACCTGAGTACCTTTGTCTGACGAGTCACAGCCCTAGTTAGGCTAGGCCAGGCCAGGCCAGTGGCAAAGATGTTCCTTCACAGGACCTCAGCCCAGAGGCACTCATGTCCACAGCTAGAAGCCTCCATGGAGGCCCAGGCTAGGGGAAGAGATTCCTGGCCTCTCCAGCTCACGGATCTCTCTCCTCATTTTCCTGGAATGTCAGCTAGGCGAGCAGCTGGATGCAGGCTAGCAATACCTGGGCCCGGCAGAAACCTCAGCCCACAGTTCCTCTCAGCCCCACACCCACCCTCACCTCAGCACTTCATTCTCCCCTGGCTCACAACACCCCTTCCTCGGCTCTGCTCCCTCTGCTCAACCATTAAACCCTCCTCCTACCGCCCTGGGTAGTCCCGGCTTCCCTCTTCCTCCTTCTCACTGCTGCTGGCCTCCTGCTCCCACTGGGGCAGGAATTGTCTTGGGAAGAGGGGAGCAGGTGAAGGAGGAGTGAAGAGGGCCATGCGGGTCCCACCTGCTTATTTCACACAAGGAGCACATTAGAACAATGGTCCCCAGACCAGCGGCTAGGACGTTACCTGAGCACTTGCTAGAGGTGCAAATTCGCTGTCCCACCCCAGATCTATCAAATCAGAAACTCTGGGGATGGGGTGGGCAGTGAGTTCAGACAAGCTCTGTGGGTAATTCTGAGGCTCACTAAAGAGTGAGAACCGCTCTCTCAGCGCAAACTGCTTTCCCGCTCCTCCCTACCAGGCCCTCCCACCCCACTAAGCGAACCCCCCACCCCCTCCAACTGGGCTCGGCCGCCAAGGGATGACGCAGTGTTGACTCACGCGGGTCAAGGACGGCGGTCTGGGCCGGCCCGGCAATCCAAGGTGAATCGATGGCGCTCGGCGCTCCACCGCGGCGGCGCAGCGGGACTCCGCTCAACTGCTCTTCCCGCGGCTGGGGCTCGGGGTTCGCGGACGGGAGCCTTCCCCGCTACCCCAGACACACGCACACGCACGCACGCACGCACACGCACACACACACCCCCAGCAAACTCCTGGGGAAAGGCCCAAATACACCTTTCAGGTGCTCACCGCCCGGCCGCAGCCCAGAACCACGCTCCCGGGACACCATGAGCTGCAAGAGCCCCAGCGAGACGCACGGCACGCACCGCCCCAGCGCCCAGCACTGCGCCAGGCACCCGAGGCGCGTTAAGAAAAGGTGTGGGTTTATTTTAATCGAAGAATGAGAGGTCCACTGAGGTCAGTCGTCCCACCGATGGATTTATTTTATAGACAAGTTACGAATTTAAAAAAGCAAACAAACCATTTGGGCCATTTTTCTTTACAGTGAACAATTATATATACATACATTATAAACACTGTTTAATATAAAACACATATCTACAATCTACTTACATTTAATTAACCTGCTACGTCTAGTTCATCTGTGATTAATTTTAGTCACTGATGAGTCAGTTTCTCTGCTTGAACTGGACTGTACTATCCTCTTAACACCCTGGTCAAACAGGTACTAAGCCATAGCGCAAAACAAGCATTTAAGATTATCAACCATACCTCCCTGACAAAAAGAACACATATGTTCCCGAGACAAGATCTCTAAGATGGTTTTGGATTTAAGGCAGCAGTGTAAGAATGTAATATAAAAGAATATTTCCTTTAAAATTGTGGGCCCTGATTTCGAGGCATACCTCTGGATTTGGGGGGCCTCTTTGTTTTTCTATTAAGTGGGATGTAGAAATTATAGAAAAGTCATTCCAGAAGGCCCTATTAAAATCTTTAAAGTTATAACTTAGGAATTTAACCAAAAAGTTCAAAATTACTTTTTATAAATAGAAAAACATTTTTTTAAAAGATGGTGAATTTAATCAGTGAAGAGTCCCTTTATCATACAATCTAAAATCAGTATATAAACTATTTAAGTCAAAATTAAGGTTTCAATGTGAGTTTGTTATTTAGCCAGTGCACTGAATATTTTAGGTTTCCAAAATACTAGAAAATGGATTCCCTTTCTCATATAGTTTTCCAGTTCATCTACGGAGATTTTCTGTAGCAACTGTTATTCCCAAGTCAAGTTTTCTGAACATGCCAATGTCAATGGTCATCATCCAGCATTAAAATAGCCTTTATCGCCCTCAATGTCCACTTCCTGATCAGAATCCTCTGAAATCTCTGATTCAAGGTCTTCCTGGGAGGCAGGGGAGGGCGAACACTGAGAGCTATCCAAAGCACCTTTATTTTGTTCACTGGCTATGTCTTGCCTCTGGTCGCAGGAATTGTCCAAACTTTCTAGTTCTTCTTTTTTATTGTTTTGAGGGTTCTCCTGAAAGATGAGGATGAAAATGGAGATTGGTGGGATCATGAAATATGGAGAAGTAAGAGACATAAATTAAATGTCTTTTCATCTTTTACAATCTTTTTAACTTTTAGTTTATTGATTGTTTTTAGCTACAATTTTTATTTAGAAAAATATATACTTGTGCTTCTTTCTCACTTTGGAAGAAGTAAAGTTCCTGTTGTATCAGAGAAAGATTATACTCTTGCCGGACAAGAACAACAACCAATTACAAATATAATTGTAAAGGTACTATGTCGAATGAACACTTAATTCCAGCCCAGACCCATGGTCTCAAGATTCTCAAAAGCTTAGGGGGAAAAATAAATTAGATCACTACAGATACAAACTATCTTTATTCTTCAACTATTTAAATCTTTCCAATTAACAGGGTCTTCCAGACATTTAAAAAGTATAAATGCTCAATAGTGAATTAAGAATAAAGTTTCAAAATTATTAGATCAATCCTTTTTAATCCATTTTCTAGGGTATATTTACAAATATATACACATATAAATATGTGTAGCAAGTTATATAATCATGGCAAAGAAAAAATGCAGGACTGGAAGAATGTTGCCAACTGAAAAAGGGAGACAAGTACAATTTACTTAAAATCTGGAGGAAATTTCTGGAAAATATTCCAAATTACATAGGAGCCACTATTTTAAAAGCTGCTGGTAAACTGCCTTTGACCAAGAACTAAGTAAGTTAGTAAATTTTTAATCCTATGTTTATCTAAAATGCACATAAATACTATATAGAAATATTATGATACACAGCTAAGGTTTTTATATCTAAAGCAAGGCTATAGAATGATAGATTTACCAGGCTTACAACTAAGGTTGTCAGAGATTATGATCCTAAGGTCATACAAGGTCAGAGATTGAGAAGGAATTTGAAATTTTTTAAATCATATTAGGATAATGAAATTACGGGAATTTTATTTTCTGTTTCAGAGTGTTCTTTGTGACACCATCTTGTTTTTAATGAACAAGTTATGATTGCTAAATTTTAAAATGCACACTGCTTACAGTTTCCCCACTCATATGATTGTTTCAAAAATATTTTATTATAAATTATATATACACTGGCAAATGAAAAATTCAGCAGTTGTCATATAACTTTGGAGAAGCTATCCAGATTAGGACATCGAAAACTAATCTTTAGCTTTAAGTCAACAGAGCTTCTTTAAAAACTGAATTAGCCTTTACTTTTTATCACATGTTGCATAACAAGGTCATTGGAAGAAAAGACTGTTATAAAGTGTAAGCTATTTTCCAAACAGGCTTGGGTTTTCTCTTACTGTTTTTATATTCATTTTGAGAGCTAGAATTAATGGGGAAATAATTTTTAACTCTTTGATATTTAATTCTTCTAAAAAACAGTGTAAACAAGACTTAAAGGTGTTTATTTCCTTATATTTACCCTTGAGCTCTGCCTGGTTTTATTATGGCTGTGTAAATAAAAGAAACAATTTTCTCCCAAAGATAACTGCTTAAGTCATTTACTGCAATTACTTTATCTTTCCTGCGTTAATTAGATAAACAACATATGGGGTTTATAAAACAATTAGCTGGAAGTTTTACTAGCCAGTGTGTGAAAACCCAAGCATAACTGATATAGGAACTGCATTAGGTGCTTTTAGCATTACTGCCGCCTGAACAACTCATCCTGAATTTCAGCAGGACTATTTGCCTTTTTAATCAAGGTGAAGAGGTTAAATAGTCTCTCAAATGACTTTTGCATACAACCTACAACAGGCCTCGCATTGAGATAACATGATAAAAATATTTATTTCCATAGAAACAGAACCATGTCAATACCTGTTTTAGTCTTCTCCATTTAGCGCGTCGATTCTGAAACCACGTTTTGACCTATAGGAAAGAGAAAAAAAAAAAAAAAACTAGCCAGGAGCCCAGAATCCTAAGAGACTTGGGGAGCGGAGCGGGGTTGGGGAAAGCTTCAGGGGCCGCTGAGCAGCCCGGCGCTCCAGGCGCCAGAGCGCACCGAGGCTCCACGTCTTTCTTGGGTCCCGCGAACCCCGCCCCAGGAGCCTCCCCTGGCTGGCGGGCGAGCTCACCTGCCTCTCGCTAAGCTGCAGCATCTTGGCTAGACGCTTTCTCTCGGGCGGGGAGAGGTATTTCTGGGTCTCAAACTTCTTCTCCAGCTCTATGGTCTGGTCATTGGAGAACCTCACCTGGCCGCCTTTCCTTTTATGCAGTGGTCTCTGCAGGAAAGGGCTCCATAGTAGGGGTTTGCCTGCGGGCAACAGTGACGGTTACTGAGGGTCCTGGAGCGGCCTGGCCCACCTTAGTCCTGCCTGGCCCCTCCCCGGCGGGGGGGTGGGTGACAAAGAGGAGGAAGGGAGCCTAGAGGACACTCAACCAGACAACTAGACACATTCACATACACCCACCAACACATGGACCCACCTCACCTCACCAAGACACATACCTAGAGACCGAGGAACACCCAGTCACACACCTATACTGCATATGTACACAGATCGCACTTGTACACTCACAGACACATAAAACAGTCACACCTACAGCTAGATACAAACATTTTGAACCCCCAAAAAACACCGGCTATAGGTTGAGCTTAAAATACTATGACCCTCTTAAACCAGTGGCTCTGAGAATTTATATACAACTTTTTGCGCCTCTAGGTCCTCTCCCTTGGTGAACTGCACCTTCCAAACACTGGAGCGTGCATTATGTTGGGGAGGAGTGGGTCTGTCACACTAGTCAAGGCGTTGCTACCAGGGGCCGGCAGCTGGAGCCCAACCCACGGCTGGGAGGGAAGCCCTCTGGCCCGGGCGCGGGCGTCAGGACACGCGTGGAGCTTCCAATCCTAGCCGGAGGGCGCAGCGGCCTCCTCTGATTTCACACCCAGCCTGCGGGGGCGGCCAGTTAAAGCCACCCCGTGGGCTATGGCAACATTTCCGTCAATGTGTTTCCTGTTGGTCTATCTCGAAAAACCCTTTGCTTCCTCCTGCGCAGTCCCAGTAGTAACCCAAGGAAACCCAGGGCGCGCTCCGTGAAAACGTTCGCCCCCAGGCTCGGCCCAACGGAGGGTCCTCCTCCAGCCACAGTAGGAGAACAGAGCCACGCCGGGCCTGTGACTCCAAACCCTCGAGGATGGACTCAAAGACACAATATAATAACAAGTAAAAAAGAACTAAAATATAACCCCCAAATCTCCCCAAAATATAGCTTCAAAATCTCTTTAGCGATGAGAAAGGAAGTGGGGAACTGAGGGAGGGACCGCACCACGATAATGATGACATTAAAATGTCAATTAATTAAAATGTTGTCTCCAGGGTGCCAGCAGAAGCTGCCGATAACAGTAGATTTAAAACCCTGGTAGCTCAAGGCAGGGAGCCCCGTTTTATTTATCCGGGGCTTCAGATGCCGGACGCGCCAAGGGCCACTCGGAGCGCGGATCACGGGTGGTTACTTAGGCCGTGCACTCAAACTCTATACGGCCAGCGTGTCCGCGCTACCCTTCCTGTTGCAAAGATGCGTCGGTCAGTCCATCCGTCAGTCCGTGGGTCTGCGGGCCTGCACTAAACGCTTTGAAAGCTGGCATTGGTTTTGTTGTTGTTGTTTTTTTCTCGAGATTTTGCTTACGTCAGGATTCAGAATGGTGCAAAACAGGCTCAAAAAAAAGGAAGCAACTGGTTATTTTAGCTGCCATAATGTCACATCCCACACAGAGGAAATGAACAATATCAGAAAAACGGATCCCGGCTATCAGAAGTCGAGTGTTTCCTGAATTTGTCTGTATTGAGGATGTCGATAAAATAATCAGCAGCGTGCACTACTCCGGGGGAAGGGTCTGCTTCATGCAGCCAGGAAAACACTTAACAGCTTCTGAAACCAGATTTACTCCTATCGAGAACTCAAGATTTCCTGTATGAACGGAAAGGGTCAGCCTCTTTCACTACACAAGCTTGTTGAACCAGGTCCAGCCCCGTAACCACCCGGGCCCGGCAACTATCCCTGCCCCGCAGGAATGGCCCGGAACGCCTTGGCACTCCCTCCCAGTCTCTCCGGCTAAGACAGCCCGAACCCGGGCGACACGCGCCCCCAGGACTGCCTTCGGCCCCCAGCCCCGGCAGCAGCGCCCGAGGTCTGGCCCCGGCTCGGGCGCCTCGACGCCTATAAGGTGCAGGAAAACCAATCTGAGTCATGGTGCGGTCAGTCTGGGCTGCGCGCCGCCGGGGCCCGCGCCTCCTGTCCCCGCGCGCGCCCGACAGCCGCTTTTCAATCGCTTTTGCCACAACTTTCTATTGCCTCTCCCTCCGCCCCCGCCGCCTTCTGGGCGCTGCCACCTGCCGGGTGGCGCCCTCCTCTCCGCTGCCCCGGCCCAGCCCCTCCATTACCCCGGCCGCCTTACCCAGGGGGTCGTGGCGGAGCAGGGCGTGCGTGTAGTCGTTTACCGACCGCGGGAAGGGGTACAGAGGGCCCCCGAAGCCGCCAGGTCCGTAGGCGGCGGCCAGTGCGGCGGCGGAGTGGTGCGAGAAGGCGGGGTGGATCGGCGTGGGCTCGTACACCGGGGTCCGGTAGGAGGACACGAGGCTGGTGAAGGAGGAGTTGGGGGACGGCAGCGTGGGCGTAGGGGTGGGCGCGGCGGGCCCACGGCCCAGGATGTCCTCGATGTAGAACGGCGTCGGGTGCGCGGGCTGCAGCAGC